AAGCATGCAAGGCAACCACCCTACCCACTGTGCTATTGCTTCAGCCTATCATGTCAATAAAAGAAAATATAAAAACATATGATTATATCAATAGATGCAGAGAAAGCATTTGAAAAGATCCAGTATACATATCTGATGGAAAATCTCACCAAAATGGGAATTGTAGGAACTTTCCTCAATACAGTCCAAGCCCTGTACCACAAGATCATGGCAAGCATTATCCCAATGGGGAAAAACTAAAACACTTCCTCTAAGATCTGAGACAAGACAAGGATGCCCAACCTCACCACTTCTGTTCAATATAGTACTTGGATGTACTTGCCATTGCAATTAGAGAAAAAAAGATATTAAGAACACCTAGATAGGAAAGGAAGAAATCAAGCTCTCACTATTTGCAGAAGACATTATACTATACTTAGAGAACCCTAAAGCCTCTACCAAGAAACTCCTAGAAACAATAGACTTGTATAGTAAAGTTGCAGGCTATCAAATCAATATCCGAAATTCCATGGCTTTCCTACATGCAAATAATGAGAGAGAAGAAAGTGATGTGAAAAAAAGCAATCCAATTCAAAATCATGCCTCTGAAAATCAAGTACCTCAGAATCAGCTTAACTAAGAAGGTAAAGGACCTTCACAAGAAAACCCTACAAAATGCTACTTCACGAAATAAAAGAACAGGGAGTCATGGACATGCATCTCTTCCTCATGGATTGGGATAACTGACATTGTCAAAATGGCAATACTCCCCAAAGCATTATACCGATTCGATGGGATCTCTATAAGATACCCATGATATTATTCAAAGCTATTGATGAAATACTTCTGAAATTTATATAGAACAACAAGCTCCCACAAATAGCTAAAGCAATTCTTGGGGGAAAAGATGGGAAGCATCACCTTCCCCAATCTCAAACTGTAGTACACAAAGCAGTAATAATTAAAACAGCATGGTACTGGAACAAAGAGAGATCTGCAGACCTATGGGACAGGGTTGAATACCCTACACACACACACCGTCAAATGTATGATCATCTAATCTTTGATAAGGAATCAAGAAATGTGAAGTGGAGCAAGGAAAGCCTCTTTAATAGATGGTGCTGGAAAATTGGTCAGCTACATGCAAAAAAAATGTGCTCAGACCTCTGCACAAAAATCAGAACCAAATGTGTTAAAGACCTCGACATCAGATGAGAATCCATCAGTTACACTGAAGAAAAGGTTAGCAAAATCCTTCAAGGCATTGAAGCTAAAGATATCTTCAAAGACAAAATGCCATTGACAAAATAAGTGGAAACAGAGATAAACAAATGGAACTATCTTAAATGAAGAAGCTTCTGCACCTCAAAAGAAACAGTGACCAGAATACAAAGACAGTAACAAAATGGGAAAGGATATTCACCCAATAACCTTCTGATAAGGGGTTAATATCAAGGATAAACAAGACACTGGTTGAACTCTACAAGAAGAAAACATCCAACCCCATCAGAACATGGGGCAGTGAAATGAACAGAAGCTTTCTCAAAGAAGAAATCCAAATGGCCAAAAGGTACATGAAAAAATGCTCATCACTAATCATCAGGGAGATGCAGATCAAAACAATGAGATGTCATCTCACACCACAAAACTGGCACACTTCCAAAAGAACAATAGCAACCAGTGCTGGCGTGGACGTGGGGAAAAAGGGACTCTCCTTCACTGCTGGTGGGAATGCCAATTGGTCCAACCTTTTGGGAAAAAAATATGGACGTTTCTCAAAAAAACTAGAAATTGAGCTCCCATTTGACCCAGCAATACCATTTCTGGGAATACATCTTGGAGGTTCAAAAAATACAGTAGAAATGACATCTGCACTTGTATGTTTATTGCAGTACTATTTTCAATAGCCCAAATCTGGAAAAAACCCAAGTGCCCAAGTAGTGCCCAAGTGGCTAAAAAAACTTTGGTACACAGTGGGATACTATGCAGCTTTTAGGAACGATGAAATCATGAAACTTGCATATAGGTTTATCAACATGGAGAGTATCATGCTAAGTGAAATGAGTCAGAGAAGAGAGGGACAGATGTAGAATAACTGCACTCATTTGTGGAATATAAAGTAACACTATAAGAGACTAACACCTAAGGAAAGTAGAGATAAGGGCCTGGAGGATCGTTCCATGGCTTGGAAGCTGACCTCATATTCTGGGAGAAAAGGCAGCTGAGAAAGAGAATGGACCACTAAGTAAATGATGCTTGGAGGGGTCGCTCAGGATGGGAGATGTGTGCTGAAAGTAGACTATGATCAAATATGATGGCCGCTTATTACCTGTTTCGCAAACCATAACACCAAAAAGGAGAGAGAAAGTAAGAGGGAATGTGTCTGCCACAAAGTTGGGGGTGGGAAAGAATGAGGTGACAGGAGGGATACTAGGAACATTGATGGTGGAGAATGGGCACTGGTAGAGGGATGAGTACTAGATCATTGTAGGACTGTAACGTAATCACAGAAGTTTTTAGGTCTATAAATGTTAGCTCATGGTGATTCATTAAAAAAATGGGCAATCTTATTATCTCCTTTTTCATTCTCCCTTTTACTTTTTATTACCATGGAATATCCATATGGAATTTATAAGCACAGAGACATGGAAATATGTCCTGTAATTATCATAACTGATGTATATTTCTTCTGGTAGTAGTGGATTCAGTCATATGAAAATAGTTTCACAATTCAAAAGACATTCACATCCAAGAATTTATTAATCAAATTGATCCTTAAACATCACGTATTCAATATGCCAAACACAGTGACACCAATGTCTCACAATGGAGACGTTACTGGGCCCGCTCGAGCAAATTGATGAACAATGGGAGGACAGTGCTACAGATCCTTAAACATGCTGTTATGCCTTACAAGGGCAAGCCTATAGAAAGCCATGCAGTCTCTACAAGCCCTATTCCTCTACTCTTAAAATAAAGAGTATTTACATGGTTCCACAGCTCCTGAAAACAGCTATGTCCTCAAGAAGCCAAGTTCTATAACCCATGAGGGCAAAATGATTTTCCTGTTCCTGACACAAAATAAGTCTCCTTCACTCAAGTAAGCCATCCACTCAGAACCAGATGAAGAACATAGAATAACTATCCATCGTCATCAGTGGAGAAGCAACTGTAAATTAATTTTGTCTTCATAAAAACTAAGTGTTAACATCTTTCAGTAATGTGGTATGTCATTAATTATTCCACTGGGTGTAAAGCTACATTGCCTTAATCTTAATAAATCTGCTATATATAAACAGAAGGAAAATTTTAAAAAGAAAGCAAAATGAACAAATGAAAGAAATATTTTAAAACAATACTATTAAATTAGTTGCATGTTTTTCCAATTATTTGATGCTTATATTTTTCATTTTTTATCCAAAACTGGATTTTTCTTGCCTCATTGTCTTTACAAATACATGATCTCAAGGAGTAAGCTTACATTAAAAATAAAGATCCTGTTAATCACCAAAATCTATGTGCATGTTCTACCTGTCTTACCTTCATTAGTTCATTTGAACACAAATTATATATGTAGATATTTTTTATTGCAATATTACATTGGGAAATAAATACACAAAAAGATGAAGTGACTTGGTCAAGATTTCTAGTTCAACTTGATTAATATATCATATCTGAAAGTAGTTCCCACTCTAAATATAACTTCAGTGCTACATCTCAACAAAAATAAGTTATTTTCCTGTAGCAACTCACATAATTTTGTCAATTTTATGTGTTTTTCCTGAGATGGAGCAATAGCACAGCCAGTAGGGCATTCGCGTTGCACGCGGCTGACCCGGGTTCGATTCCTCCATCCCTCTCCAAGAGCCCGGCAAACTACCCAGAGTATCCCGCCCACACGGCAGAGCCTGGCAAGCTCCCTGTGGCATATTCTATATGCCAAAAACAAGTCTCACAATGGAGACGTTACTGGTGCCTGCTCAAGAAAATAAATGAACAACAGGAGGACAGTGCTACAGTGCTACATTATAGGCTTATATTCCTTTCACAATGAAAAAGTAATGTTAAGGTGTGCTGCTAAGCTAAAAATATGTCATTATATATATATATATATATATATATATATATATATCTAGTTCTATACCTGCTCCTCATTTTCTTTCTCCACTATATTCTGCCTCAGAGCCAATTACACGGGACGTTTTCTATTCTTAACATTGTTGGTACTTTCTTTGATTCCATATCAACACAGAATAAATGATTTCATCTTAATATTTTTTACTTTAATTTGACCAAAATCAGATATGATTATCAATGGTACATACATTTATGTTTTGTATCTAATAAAAAGAAATGTGCTGATATCTAAGAAATTTACTACATTCTGAATTAACACAGTAGTTCTAATAAATAATAAATAAAGGCCCTCCCGTTGATCGTCGATTTGCTCGAGCGGGCCCAGTAATGTCTCCATTGGAGACTTTGTTGTTACTGTGTCTGGCATATCAAATACTCTCGGTAGCTTGCCAGGCTCTCAGAGAGGGGCGGAGGAATCGAACTCGGGTTGGCCATGTTGGCCGCTTGTAAGGCGAACGCCCTACCCGCTGTGCTATCGCTCCAGCCCCGTCGATTTGCTCGAGCGGGCCCAGTAACGTCTCCATTGGAGACTTTGTTGTTACTGTGTCTGGCATATCGAATACTCTCGGTAGCTTGCCGGGCTCTCCGAGAGGGGCGGAGGAATTGAACTCGGGTCGGCCATGTTGGCCACGTGTAAGGCAAACGCCCTACCCGCTGTGCTATCGCTCCAGCCCCGTTCTAAATATACAAATTTTAAAGTTCAAATGTAAAATCTAACACAGCGATGAATATTCTAGACAGGTATTTTATATTTCTTTATAAAAGATGGCTTAGTTAAGCACTGAGGATAGATTTGCAAACTTGAGTTGTTTTTAGAATGAGATGAAGTACACAAAAGAAATAAAGAGGTACATTTAAGTATAAAACAATGGAACACTGCTTACCATTGTGAGGGTGAATGGGTGATTTTCCAATGCAGATACACTGGGGCAATGTAGAATAATATACTAAAAAGCAACAAACAATGTTGAGTTAATGAAAAAAAAAAAGAGTTCAAATATTCCAATCAGAATTGTTTAAAACCATATACAAATTTATAAGTGACATTTAAAATGTCACTTCTTGCTAAAAGTGGGCTCACCTGGCCAGGCCTAGCTTTAAAATTTTCTTTGATCATCTGAATTTCCATGACATTTGCCGGGTGGCTTGTGACCGAGAGAATGGTGACAGGTGTGTTGCTCCGGATGCACCTGTAGAGCCTTTCAGCACAATACAGGCAGAGGGGGCCAGAGATCCAGATCCACGTCTGCTGGAGAAGTTTGAAATGCACTTTAAGAGATACTTGTACTGCAGGAATTGTTATATTTTTATTATAATACAGTAATAACATTTTCATCTGTATTCTAAATAATCATAAAAAATTAAGCAAAAATGTTGACTGAGAAGTATTTAAATAAGATTAAAATATAAATAAGAGGGATCAGAGAGAAAGTACAGTAGGAAAGGCACCTTGCTTTGCACACAGGAGACTGGAGTTTGATCCATGATCAGTGGCACCCCTGTAGGTCCCTCAAGCACTGCCAGAGTGATCCCTGAACACAGAGTCAGGAGTAAGACCTAAGCATCGCAAGGTGAAACCCAAAAGAGAAGAAGAAAGAAAAAGGAGGAGGGGTTGGAGGAGAAAGAGGATATGGAGGAGGAAGATGATCGATGTCAACATCTACCATCAAAACACTGCTCAGAGAGGGTATGGTGCCGCCAGCAGGTCAGCCTGTACCTGTCAGACAAGTGCATCAGCAGCCTGATGGCACCATCAGACTTTTGTTACAAAAGTAACAAAAATTGCTGCTGTGCCTTTGGCCAGACCCCAAAAACTTGGGGCAAAGTTTACCAGGAAAGTAAATGGCCAAAAGTTAAGTATGTGGGAGACACACCCACAAACCACCTCTGGCTCAGCTATATAATTGGAGGCATGGCCTCTCTGGTTCCTGATTGAACTGCTTAACGGCCATGATCCCAGAGACTTAGAAACGAATCTCGGAACCCAGAGGCTTTTGGCAGAAATGCATCCTGTTCCTGCAGTAGGTTACTGGCGCTGGGCCACTCCAGGTGGGAATAGGTTTTGAGCCTTGGCCTGTTCCCCCTGGAGGCCTGGTGACCAACATCCTCCAGAGGCCACTGGACAGTCAGCTTTGGGCCTGTAGTGACGAGACACACGGGGCTTCACCAGATAGGGGTGGAACCGGCTTTTTCCTTCCCATCCAACGAGACCCCAAGTCGTGACCTACAAACAGCCACCTGATCAAGCTGATTAACAGCCATAATTACAGAGACTCAGAAACAAATCTTGAAACCCAGCGGCTTTTGGCAGAAATGCATTGGGACCGCATACAAGGTGGCCGCCACCTCAGAGCTTATAGGAAAGCCAGGTATGAGCTGGCGGTGACGGGGCAACTGCAGTCTCATGGGAAGGGGGTCAGTACTGGCTCGTACTTCATGCCCTACTGAGGTCACGAGTTGCCCTCCACGAGCGACCCTCCGGTACGGCCATGGCTCCAGAGGCAAAAGGACTTAGTCCAGAGCCCAGCAGCTTGCAGCAGATAAGTGAATGGTCCATGCGTTTAACTATGGCGCCATGCCTCCCTGGGAGGGAAAGGGTGTTGCTCCCTTCCACCTTTCCCCTCAACCCACCCACCCCCAGCAGCAAGGTGGCTGCCGCCTCAGAGCTTATAGGAAAGCCAGGTATGAGCAGGTGGTGATGGGGCAACTGCAGTCTGATGGGAAGGGGGGCGGTACCGGCTCATCCTTCATGCCCTACCGAGGTCACGAGTTGCCTCCCACGAGTGGCTCTCTGGCACAGCCATAACACTAGACGCACAGAAACCAATCTCGTAATTTTCTGGCTCTTTGCAGAAATCCAAAATTGCGCAGCCACGATAGCCATGTAATAGACATTATGTGATCCTCATAACCAGCTATAGAAAGCAAAGTATTTCACAATGCCTTTTCAGCAATTCTGATTGTTGGGGGGAAAATTCTAAACAATAATGGTGCATCTTTTGTCGAAATAATGAATGTAATCAATGTAGAGAAGTGTTAAGTAGAAATCATCTGCCTCACAGGCATTGGCAGGGGTTAGATGGGAGGGGGGGTTTAATGGGGTTCTTGGTGGTGAAAAATGAGTACTGGTGAAGGGAAAGGTGTTTGATCATTGTATGACAGACTTAAACCTGAAAGCTTTGTAACTTTTCCGACAGTGATTCAATAAATAAATATAAGAAGAAAAAAAAACACTGCTCAGAGTCACTGTCACTGTCACTGTCCTCCCGTTGTTCATCAATTTGCTCGAGTGGGCCCAGTAACGTCTCCATTGGAGACTTGGTTGTTACTGTGTTTGGCATATCAAATACATCACTGGTAGCTTGCCAGGCTCTGCCGAGCGGGCGAGATAGTCTCGGTAGCTTGCCGGGCTCTCCGAGAGGGGTGGAGGAATCGAACTCGGGTCGGCCATGTTGGCTGCGTGCAAGGCAAATGCCCTACCGCTGTGCTATCGCTCCAGCCCTACTGCTCAGAGTAAGAATCATTAATAAGGATACATTGTCTTGATCTTTCAGTATCTTTATGTGGACACAGAAAATACATTCAGCACATAGGCAATATCTTTCTCTGAAAAGATAAGAAAGGGAAGCTAAAAACTCAAATAAAACTGAAGTTAATTTAGGAGAGGAATGGACTAATCAAATTTGCTTTTCAAAAACAAACAAACTAGGGAGCAAGCACGTGGGTCAGCAAGAGAGCACATGCACCCACACGTGAGTGTACAGATCTGTCAGGTGCCTGAGCTGCATGGTACTCTCCACCACTTTCCAGGTGTGTGTGGCTCAGTGACCCCTGAGCATCCCAGGGCGCAGTTCCCATGACAAAACACACACACAAAATTCCAAATAAAAAAAAAGAGAGAGGAAACTATCTTAACTATTTTAATTCATTTCATGTTCAAACATAATGTATATACAATGTAAAATATATACTTGTAACATATCTTTAAACAGAGGCTATACTACATGCGTTATTTACAACTTCTGTTCCACAGTAAATAATAAGAACAGGAAAAAAATTAGAATTTAAAATGTGGCAGTTCCACACATGCATGGGATGAATAGATCGTTCCATCTCAGGGTTGCATTCTACCATTCTGGTAAGAGAGAAAACCTCTGGGCTGGAGCAATAGGACAGCAGGGAGGGCACTAGCCTTGCACATGCCCAACCTGGGTTTCATTCCCAGCATTCCATATGCTCCCCTGAGCACATCCAGGAGTAATTCCTGAGTGCAGAGTCAGGAGTAGCCCCTGAGCATCACTGGGTGTGACCCAAAAAGCAAAAGAAATAAATAAATTTAAAAAATAAAAAATAAACAAAAAGCAGAGCAAACTCCTGAGGCCAACTCTCTGACACTACGGTATCTCACCCTCATGGCCTGCAGACTCTAAATAAGACTAAGCAAAACAAAATATGATGGTCATTTTCTAACACTTATTTATATAAGGTATTACAGATCCTCCACCTTTCATGCAGATAATAATACCTAGTATTCATATATGACTGACTTTTTTTTTTTGCTTTTTGGGTCATACCCAGTGATGTGCAAAGGTTACTCCTGGCTCTGCGCTCAAGTATTACCCCTGGCAGTGCTCAGGGGACCATATAGGATGCTGCAATCCAACTCATCTAAAATTTATTCCTCTGAGGAATCCCCTCCTTTTCTTCATAAAACAAATGCCCAATGTCATATTATGTACTTCCATTACTTATAAACAAAGAATTTAGGGTATAATTCTCACAAGAGCAGCTCCTAGTTATTTTGGAAAGATATTTCCAAAATTAAAGCTATATACTTTGCTTGTATGAAGTATCAGTTTTCGGGTATTTTTTTTTTTTGGCTTTTTGAGTCACACCTGGCGATGCACAGGGGTTACTCCTGGCTCTGCACTCAGGAATTACCCCTGGTGGTGCTCAGGGGACCATATGGGATGGTGGTAATTGAACCCAGGTTGGCCGCGTGCAAGGCAAATGCCCTTCCCGCTGTGCTATTGCTCTTGCTCCTAGCTTTTGGGTATTTTATTTGGTCAAAACGGTTTATGCATTTGAGTCAGAAAATAACTTTCTACAAAAACATTCAATCACTCTATTCTTCAATAATTGCTAACACACTTCCAAAATATACCAAAAAGTAATATTGGTCAATTGTTTGGGGAACATAGATTTTGCAGAAACTCTTTAAGATAGAAAGAATCTGACCTGTGGAAAGTTTGCTTGAAATCTGGGTTCCTCCTTACAAATCTTCTTAAATGTTTTCTGGGTAAGTTCATCTGGTTTTGAAGATCCTTGAGGGAAAGATTCATAGAAGTATTCTGAGAGATAATCCAGTGAGTGAGTATTCTGGTAATGGGTTCCATTAAGTTTGATGCAGCCAGGTGGGTGGGTATCTAAATTAGTCTGGTATTTCAGCAGTCCTCTAAGATTAAATTAAGGACAAAAAATCAGGTAAATGAAAGAGAAACTGAAATCAGTGATGCAGTTTAAGAAACTAAGCTTTCAATTTTATATAGTATCTCATCAAACTAAGATATAGAATCATAGTATCATATAGAATTTTCGACCAATTTCTTTCTATAAGTGCAAAGCTAGAAATATAAACCACCTCCAAAAATTAAAGCTACAAATGCATGGTAAGGAAGAACATGTACAGTTACTGCCTTTGACAGTCTTTATCTCAAGTCTACTCAGCAATCATACAAATTTTTAAGTCAATAAATATGTTAGGATGAGTGATTTTTACAGTATTTTAACACAAATGGAAAATCACAATAATTCTATTTTGTTTGGCTAAAACTAGGTAAGCCATATGTGCTGATGAATATAAAAATGCAAAATAAACACGATGAGAAGAACTGGAAAACACACCTCCTGTAGTCCCAAAAACAAGCAGCACATACAATAAAGACACTAAACTAGTTCACGTTTTCAATTTCTTCCCCAAAAGCCTACATATAAGGTTCAAGACGATGAACAAGACAGGAGACATAAAGCTCTAAAATGATTTAACAGCGTTCTGACTTTCACAGTAACAAAGTGTTTAATGTACCACACAGGTAAAGCCATCCTGTGGGAGACTGCAGAACATCAAAGATTTAATATACAAAAACAATGCTACAAAAACACATCTTAAAAAGTTTCAAAAGCCTGGAAATATTTCAGGTTTAATTTTATTTTTTAAGATATTAAAATTCAATTTACCAAAATTATTTTCTGACTTGCTAATGGGGTATTTTAAAATTATCTTTCATGTTACCCCAAATTAATTTGTTCTTTGAAACTTTGTATTTTGACCTTTCCTTCTCAACCAGCCCAAGGGCGTCACCCTCTCAGGCTAGCCACCCTCCCTTCACCTGCCGGATGACCACAGGGCGGCAGGAGCTGAAGTCCTCTCTGAATCCAGCAGGTGTGTCAGCTGACAGCCAGACCTTCACAGACTCCTCCACTCACACCACAAACGCTCTAGTGGCTTGGGGGAAGCTGTGCTTGCTTAGTCTCTGTCCCATAATATGTCCATCATAAACCTGGTATGTAAATGGGAAAACCAGACCTCCACCTGCCTGGCACACTGAAGTATCAGGCCACTTCCATGGGGCCTGGAAATCATCAGAACAACAGAGAATAATAAGTAGCTCCTTAGTATAAAAAATAAAATTATTAATTAGATCAAGAGAAATCTAGAGCTCAACTGCCAGTAACAAACCACGAAGAGGGGAAGGTCAAAGGACAGCGAAAGGATTCAACTGCAGAGGGAGACGGGCACAGCAGTCCGGCACCATCGCAAGCAGCTCAGCAAAATTCTCAAGCCTTGAGGAAGAACTCAAATCAACACTATAGGCAATGGCAATGAAAATTAAACAATCACCGGAAAAGCAATGTAAAGAATTCAAAGAATAATTGACTCAAAATATCAAAGACTCCAAATAAATTTAATTGAAAAAACTAAAGAACACAAAAGCTCCCCCGAGCAACAGAATTCTGAATGCAGAGAATGTATCAGCAAATGTGATGCCGAAATATAACCCAACAGCAATAATGAAGTGACAAAAAAGAAGCAAAAGAATGGAAGAGAATTTAAGATTCTTAACGGATAACAGCAAGAGAAATAATCTCTGAATCGTAGAAACATCACAAGGAGAGGAAAAAGGGAATGGGAAAGAACTACCAGCAGAAAAAAATAAAAGTGGCATTTCCCCAGGCTCTGGAGAGAGGCTTTTGCATAAATTTAGTAAGTCCAGAGTTCCAAACAAAACAGATTCAAATGGAGCAACACTGAAAGACACAGTAATCAAAATAGAAAGAACCAAGATAGACAGATTACTTAAAGCATCATTACAGAAGAAAAACCTCAAGTACAAGGGAAATAATGTAAGAATCACAACAGATCTCTCATTTGATACCATAAAACCAAGAAAAGAGCAGAATGACACATTCAAAGTACCGACTAAAAAAAAAGAAATCTTAAAGCCTGGAGTCCATTACCCTGCAAAGCTATTATTTTTATTTATAATTGAGGGAGGGATTAAAAACCTCAGATATAGAAGAACTGGTGACATTTGCTACAACTAAAACAACCCTGCAAGAATTGCTGAAAGGCCACTTATAAAAACAAAAGACAAATTTCAAAGGTTACTGAAACACATACACACACACACACACACACAGCAACACAGCTATTGATTATATCAATAAAATATCTGTGTTGATATATTGATTATATCGATATAAAATATTGATATAATGATTATATCAACACAGATACTGACTAAATCAATTCCCTTTCTGAATATAAACAGACCAAACTCTCCTATAAAAAGTCATGGAGTACTGAGTAGATTAGGAAACAAAATCCATCTATTTGCTGATATACACCTAATTCACAGATTGAATACTTCTTGGTCTACTATTCTCTTATTAATATATATATGCACCAATAGTAGGATAGAAAAGTTTATAAAGCTTCTGCTCATAAAACTAAATAAATAAACTAGCAGAGACACAACAGTAGTGGGAGAACTCGATACTTCATTTTCACAACCAGACAGAATGCCAGTCAAGTTATCAGCAAAGATACAAGTACTCTAAAAAAGGAGTTAGACATATGTAGGACTCTCAGTTTCAGGAAATCCAACTACACAATCTTCTCTAATGAACCGGGAACATCTTATAGGATATATCATACATTAGAGCATCATTTAAACATATATAAATTTATAAACATAAAAATCATAACAAGCATTCATCGCCATTAAAGTAAAAATTAGTCACAGAAAGAAAGGGAACATACGATAAAATTGAACAAAACCTTGCTAAAAAACAACTTTAGGGAATCAAGGAGTAAAGAAAATGATCCCCTGAAACAAATTAGAATGTAGACAAGCTATTATATTGATGGGATACAGTGAAATCTGTACTGAGGGGGAAATTCATGGCAATGAAGATCTACATTAATAAAGAAGAGAAACACAAATCAATAATCTAAACACATATCTTAAAAATCTGGAGAAGAAACAACAAATGAATACAAAAAATAGGAAAAGAACAGAAATTATTAAAAAAATATAAAAATGAGCAGAAATCAATAATATATAAAGCAACAAAGCAATACAAAGAATCAATGAAAGCATGAGTTGGTTTTTCAAACGAATAAACAGGATAGACAAACCTTTAGCTAGATTCATGAGAAAAAAAGGGAAAAAAAAATACCAAAGAAACCAATCAGGGCAAACAGAGAGAAGTTATAAGAAACCTCTCAGAAACAAGTTATTATGATAGCTTACTATAAATAGCTTTATGCTGGTTTAACTGAAAAACCTGTAGGAAATGGACAGAATTTTAGAATCATTTGATCTATTAAAACTGAATAGAGATGAATTAGAAAAACCTGAACATGGCAATCACAATAAAAAATACACTATTACTATACCATATAACATTTTTTAAAAAAATATTTTAAACCAACTAGTATTATTTTATTCTACAGAATTCTGAATTGGAATATAGGCCAGCTAGATATTACATTTGAACTGATACAAATTAGATAAATCTCTGTTGGAGTACACGGAGCTTAGGTTTATCAGATTGTACCCATCACAGTGCTCCTGAGTCACTCCCATTACTTTGTCTGTCTGTAACCTCTTCTATGCTCTCTTCCCCAACCAATTTGTAAGGTCTCATCCTGCTTAGACACTGAAGCTGTACTGTAAGTTAATATTGTCTTTCTCCTCTCCTTATGTCTTTTGAGCAGTTTACTTTAATGCAGTGTCCTTTTGTATAGATACAGGAAGACAATTAATTAATATGCTCGGTAACTTAGGAATTGATTGGCTTTGAATATTATTCACTCCTGGGCATCTGCCTTCTCAACTTAAGCCTCAGTTGCCCTCACTTCCTAGCACCCCAAGGGCAGGGTCCCGACGTGGGACTGGATGGAACCAGGGCAAGCCGGTAAGTTATGTGCTACCCTGGCATCGCGATGGGCCAGGCCAAGGTGCCACGATTCTTAACTATAAGTTAAGAGGTTGATCATAGGCAAATGATGTCATGATCCAATAGTAACGATGAGACTAGAGCCCTGCTGCTAGGAATAGGAAAGATATCTGGCCTGAGCACTGCAGTCTGAGATCGAGATGGCCCTAGGAGAGCAATTCTATAAGCTCAAAGTATTTCTTACTGTGTCCATACAAAATGATTAATATTATATATGCTTATATGTTGGTTGGACAAGGAGAGGAGAAACATGTCCTAGAAGCAGTTTCCTGTGTATCCTGACTAGCTTTGATGAGACTGAACTTTCTCCCCTTCAGACTGCCTTCAGTAAAAGATTTCAGTATATTGAGGTAGTTTCTCTTATCTCACAGGAACCTAGTTGGCCTTAGGTATACAGATCCCAGGTGCTAAACCAAGCCTGGCCTTTGGGATGTAGATGCGTGGCTCCAGGCTGGCTGATTTTGGAGATGTAGATTCCAAGCTCTAGCAGACTGGTCTTTGTTGTGCTAATCTAAGTGCTTGTAGCTTGTGAAAAGGTGAGGCCAGGATTACTGGCCTGTGGATGTAAGGAAACAATGTATGGTTTGCAGCTTCAATGTTCTTTCTGTAACTCCTTTTGATGACATCACTATATTGCGCCCTTTAGAGGTACTATGATCTACAGAAGGGAGATTTCAGGGCTCTCTGGGGGGACATGTGCATCAGAGAACCTGGGAAGATGGGGCTGAGGACAGAAGCGGAGAGAACAAAGGTGCACGTGCTTGAGAACTCCTGAAGCCTCCATGACATACATCTCTTCCATGTAATAAACGGCTGCTAAGACCAACCAGCTTGGCCTCGTTTCCTTCCTTCGCCTGACCATCGCCATCGACCTCCGTGGAGTGGGGAAATGGCCTGGCCACCGGCCTTTTATTTTTTGTGTTTTTACAC